TGGGGGGGGGGGGGGGGAGCTAATGTCTAGTTAACATCAAGCTATGTTTTCCATGCTACTTCATCTTCCACAGCATACACTAACACTAAATTCATGGGAAAATGGAAACTTGAGGTTTTAGCCTATTGCCAAAATGACTGCCATGCTAAAAATACAAGCAGTATGAATAATCCCCAAGAAAAAAAGGAAGGGAAGAAATATGATGTGATAATTCTGTGCAAAGACATCAATAAATACACTTACTAAAAGAAAGGCGTCTATAAGTATAGAACTATAGATGAGTACTGTATAAATGAAAATCACCCAGTAAAAAGCAACCTCATAGCAATGACTATGAAGCTAAGACCGAGAAAGGTGCACTTACCAAAAGCCATAGCATAGTCTGGTCGCACAAGGAGAGCACGCTGGTAACACATAATGGCCTCCTGTGGCATCCTGAGAGCCTGGAAATACAAACCAGATACACATATTTCTCACATTCTTGTCCAGGCATTTTGCACAACAGACCATATTAGCACAATGCAGAAGCGCTTACCTTATACACATTTCCCAGGTTCAAATATGCGTCTGAAAAATTTGGTTTTAGCTTGACAGCTTCCTGGTTGTGAGAAGTTCAAACCACAAAATAGTGAGTCAACTTAATAGCCCATAAACAAAGAGCGGAGGCAAAATAAAAGCAAATTTGGCAAAAGGTGGAGGATTTGTGGCTTAGGTCGCAGGTTCAAGCCCCACACCATGCAAAGCAAAGCCCGGTATTTAAGTGGAGAAGGGTAGAGCGGCGGGCCCATTATCCACCGAGTTTAGAAGGCTGTGATTGGTCCAAAGGGCGAGTCACAGACGGATTTCTCGGTTAAAAAAAAAAAACAAATCCAAATCTCTGATATAATAAACTGATATACACTACGATATAAGGTACTCCTCCGTACCTTGTAGTACTGCAATGCCCTGTTAAGATCGCCAGCATCCATGAAGAGGCCAGCAAGATTGGACCATGCAACAGCAAATGTAGGTTGTATGCGCAGTGCCTCCACATAACAATTGTATGCCTAACGGAAAACTAATAATCAAGACAACAGAAATCAACCAGCATAACAAGAGCCAGCAAAGCATCTATAGCCAACAGAAAAGCATAGGAACTGCACTTCAAGACTGAAAGACCTGTCAAAGAATAATAAAATTGGAGAATGCAGAGTATATCTCACTCAACACATATGTGTAGACGTTGTACAAAGTTCAAGTCCACAACCATCCTACAGCCACTCGTTAAATACATATAGGGCCCACCATCAATGACAGAACAAAACAAAATATAAGTTATGAAGAACCAGTGTTTTACCTCTTGCACCAAACCTTGTGCTTTCATCAGATTTCCAAGATTGCTATGTGCGTCAACCTAGAAAGAATACAAGGGAGTCAAGAAAGAAACATAGCAAGAAGCAAATCTACTGAACTGTTACAAAGAAGCCAAATAAATAGGTAATCTTGAATACCAGACGAGGATTTAAAGCTAGAGCCTGATGGCAACATTGGGCTGCGTCACTCAGCCTTCCTTTCCTCATATATGCACCAGCTAAATTTGACCAGGCATCAGCAAAATTGGGACGCAGCTGCAACCAAAATATTACCGTAAATTATGTCATTCAACAATAATGAACCATAGTTATATTATAGCAGAATTATAGCAAACACCTTTGCTGCTATATCAAGATTCCAAACAAAAAGCCAAACTTGCAAATATATAGTTGAGGAACCTGTTGCCATAATTTCTGTGAAAGAGAGGCTTCCATCACGTAGGAAAATGAAAGGTCTTCTTTCGGTTTTTGAAATAAGAAAGGAGAACAGTGAATTTCTAGGACCCAAATTGACCTGTATATACTCTTTTCCTATCCAAATTGCGCATTATATATTCTTTTTTCGATAACCAGATGCCCCTTACATATCCTTGCGAGCTCTATTTGAAAAGGTAAGAATTACTTTAAATCACCAAGAATTAGCCTGTTATCAGACAGAAAATTCCTCTTTGAATAAATTGTTAAGCATAGCCAAAAAGAATGGTCACTTTTAGTGTCAAAAGCCAAAACCCCAGAAAATAGAACTTAACGAACAAGTGACTTGTAGTAGTTTTGCATTAGATACAAGACTTGTTAGTTGTTTCCGATAGTGGTGCTTTAGCACAAAGAGATGAAGCGTCCGGGACCCCGGCCAACAAGACCACAACAATCTAAACATAGTTATCTCAAACCCCTAACTTCTGTTAGCACCACCTTTTCTAAATGTTTCATGCCTGAGGGTTGAGATGCGCAACTTATGCAACATAGTCTATGCAACAAAAATCCAAGGCCACATACCTAGACCCATTTCCGAACCAACACAAGATATTATTATTGGACTCTGTGTATTAACGAGCGGAAATTATCGAGTTTTCAACTAGTTGTTATGTGTAACGCGCCTTCCCTCCCCTCACTTTGGAAAGATTGTCAATATTTTCTTATGATGACCTGGTCGAGAGAGTACGATATGATCCTTTAGATTCAACATCAACCATGCTTCAACCCTCAGATCGTTGGTGAGGAACATTATGAAACCACCAAAAGAGTTAAGCAAACTTTAAAACGTTACAAAGAACTTCAGGACACTAGAGCAATCCTTGAATTAGATGAATTAACCAAAGAGGATCGTTAGCATATTTCAGGCAACAATTCTTCTTTATTTTCCTTTTATTCTTTATCCAAAAATAGTCTTGGCATATACACAGAAAATATTTCTATATAATATGCAAGTATATTAACCAAGTATTTGACTAATAACAACTTTATTTACAATATGCAGGAAATTTCTATGGACTGGGAGCATGGAGTTATCACACAAAGCTATACTGGCTTGGGATAAGATATGCTGCCCAAAATCTGCAGGAGGCCTGAATGTACTGGACATTTCACTCTAATATAGTCCAGCAGTCTGTCACTCTGTGGAACTTATTTAGGAACTTATGTAGGAAGAAGGATAAGTTGTGGGCGGTATGGATTCACACAGAGGTTGTTAGACCTACTATGTTGTATGGGGCAGAGTGTTACCAGTCAAGAACTCTCGTTCAGAAAATGAATGTAGCGTAGGCCATAGATGATGATGCTTAGATGGAATGTGTGGGCCCAAAACGAATAGTACCATCAAGGGTATGGTGATTTCTACTGAGACAAAAAATTCTTAACTCAACAATCCAGCAATAAAAAACAGAACTTGAAGAGTTCTTAAATTTGCTTCCATGTGGTTCGCACCAAAGAAAATCAAGAGACGGGAAAACTTAAATAGCAATAGTTTCCAAGTTAACAAAAGCCATGAAGAAGTACACACTCAAAAAAAAAAAAACGCTCGTTATTCCAACAGCATTAGTCATGCTTATTAACCATCGACCTAAGTGGGATAATGAAAATTATAACATTCCAATAAGGCAAATGAAGATGCATACAAACCTCTATTGCAATCAAATAATAGCGTATTGCAACATCGATATTGTCCTTTTCCTGCAAATAATAGAAGGCAAACAAATCATATCGATGTTCAATCACAAAAAGTAAAAGTTAGCAACTAGAAGAACTAATACAACCATACCTTCCAAGCATTTGCCATATTTCCATAGCACTCAGCAAACTGTGGATTAACGCGGAGGGCTTCTTCATTTTTTGCAATGCATGTATCAAAATCATGCAACTAAAACAAGGAAAAATAAAATTATTTACATAGATCTATGGGGATAAGTACATGCAAGACATAGGAGGCAGTAGGCACTGTGAGTATAAAACACTGCCATAAAGCATACCTGATAATATATAGCCCCCAAAAGAAGAAGATTATCAGTGCGCTGGGGATTTCTCTCATAAACTGCCTTGCTATGCTCTAGAGCCTGTTTATAGTTTCCAGCTTTGTAGTTCTGATGAGCAAGAGTTAAGAGTGTGTCCTCATCAACTGTGGCACAAGAAATACAGATGTCAAAAGCTATAAAGACACACACACACACACACAGAGAGAGTGGGTGGGTGTACTAGCAATGCATGTTATCATTAATAAAGCAGTTCTGATAAGCAAGAGTTAAAGGTGTGTCCACATCAACTGTCGCACAAGAAAATGAGAAATACAGATGTCAAAGTAGAGAGAGCTCAAACCTTGAAATCAATTCTAATAAATGGTCACATGTGATCCACCACAACTAACGGTGTCATCACCACGAGAAAAGGAAAACCAACCAAAAGTAAATGTCGCGCTATATAGCATTCAAGTTTTCTCACGTTAACTTGTTAGTTTCTAGAAATCTTGGGTGATACTCTTATTTTATGCTATATGGTATCTTTTGGGATTTGAGGTTCAGCAGAAACTTACAAGGCTAATAAAAAACTTGGTTGGTTTGCTCCACCATCAAAAAATTACTATGGGTTCTCAGGATGTTTGGAAATGGGAACAGGGGAAATGGAGTCTTTTCCGTTTTGTGAGAGAGGAGATTGTGTACCCACATACCTCGATATGGATCCCTAGAGCAACGAGAAAGGTGTGCTTCTTCACTTGGCTAGCCATGAGGGGGGTGATCTTGACAGCGGAGAACTTGAGGAAGAGAAAGCTTACTTGTGCTAGTTGGTGCTTCATGTGCAAAGAAACAGGAGAAGACATATATCACCTGCTCTCACATTGCCAAGTAGCATCTTAGTTATGCGGGGAGCTGATGAGATGGTTTGGTTTTGAGTGGGCAATGCCGAGAACTGTGAAAGAAACAGTGTTTAGCTGGCTTGTAGAAGACACTAGACAGGGGAGGAGATGCAAGACATGTGAAGTTGCACCTTTAGCATTGATGAGGACCATATGGAGAGAGAGGAATAGGAGAGCTTTTGATGGAATAGAGAAACATGTCGTCCACTTGAGAAATAGCCTCGTTTACCTTATTTCTTTTGGTGCACCATAAAGTAACTTTTTGTATAGATGATTGGGTGGCTTTCGTAGAAAATCATGTATTTTTGACAGATTTTCTACATTTTGTACACGGGCTAGTTAATGCTCTTTTGTTAATAATATTCTTACTTCATTTTTAAAAAAAAAAACTAAATGGGATCTTTGGCATAGCCGGATATTATTGGACTATCTAGCATTTTCGGATATTATTTGTATTCAACTGTCAAATTCATCGGTGCTTCGACTTTCATATTCCTATATCAATATGCATGTAGGTTAAACATTGGAATATATGACATTCAACTATCCAATTGCTGGAAGTCCAAAGATCTCAACTTTGTGCTATTAATAATAGTTATATTAAACAATACAATCTGCCATTGTTGGACACTAATATCATTGATAATGACATTAGTCACCCAAATCCCATGCTTGTTACCCTTATCTTCATAATAAGTTGGAATTAAAAGCAAACCATGAAGCAAATGGGCTTTCCCTCCTCCATTCTAATCTTCTTCATTTTTTCCCTTTATGTTCCTCAACTTAATGGTAACCATAATTTGTTGGACGAATCCAGCACAGGACTTGCACTGAATGTTAGTTTCAAGTCACTTTCAACTTGACAAGGGCATAAGGGAAAAGTTAGAGTCCTTGTAAACTACATCTCAGCACTTAAAAATCATGACTATCTTAAGCTTCTAGCCTTTCAACTTGACAAAGGTATCCATACAATTAGTCAAGTTGCGCATAAGCTAGCTCGGACACCACAATTATCAAAAACATACTCTCTAATACTCAAAATCATCTTCCTAATTAATTAAACCCTCTTAACACAGAATTCAACTGTAAAGACAAAGACTCTTTAACCGCAAAACACCTCGATTCCAAGGCCAAACACATCTAACTAAATAATTTTTTTTAAAAGCATAAACAGCTCTAAATATACTTTACTTCACATCCAAATTCAACATAAAGACACAACTTCTAACCTAAACACATCAATCTAAACAATTTTTAAAAAAAACAGCTCGAATATACTTTACTTTACCCTCTAACATCAAAATTCACCACAAAGACACAATTTTTAACCTAAACACATCAAACTAAACAAAAAATTAAAAAAAAAAGACAGCTTGAATTATACTTTACTTTACTCTCAAACATTGAAACTCAACATAAAGACACAATTTTTAACCTAAACACATCAAACTAAATTTACAAAAAACAGCTCAAAATATACTTAACTTTACCCTCTAACATCAAAATTCAACATAAAAACTCTATTTTAACCTGAACACATCAAACTAACCAAATTCAAAAAAAAAAAAACACAGCTCGAAATATACTATTTTACCTTCTCTAGACAAGTCAGACTTGATATTCACAGATGACAAAACCGACTCAGCATAAAACGGAAACGACGAATCATTTCTCGGATCACCATCATGTGAAACCCTAGAAATCAACAACTGTTGCTGATACTGCCGTGGATCGCTTTGCAGCGACAACATCCTGATCTACAACATGCACTATCTCCTCCAAATTCACAAAAAAAAGTGAAAGAGATAACGAAATTCAGCCGAAAATTGAAGAATTATTCTTCAACAAATGGAAAATTCCAATTTTCCTATCGATTTATTATACTGTAAACAATGACTGTTGTGCTTGTAGTTACGAGCTCTTTTTCCATTGGTGTTTGTGTGAAATTACTGTATTACCCTCGTGTTATGCTTTAACACATGTGGTTTGTTTGGTATTGGTCGGTTTGACTACTTTATTACTCCCTCTGTTTCACAAAGAATGACCTAGTTTGACTTGGCACGGAGTTTAAGTAAATAAAGAAGACTTTTTGAATTTTTGTGGTCCTAAATTAAAGTTATGTCAAATGTACAAAATTGCCCTTAATTTTTGTGGTCTTAAACATGCCACATGGAAAGCAAAAAGTAAAATGTTACCAAAAAAGGAAAGAGGTCATTCTTTTTGAAACTGACTAAAAGGAAAGGAGGTCATTCTTTGTGAAACGGAGGGAGTATTATCGATCACTGCCTCGAAAAGGTAGTTAGGTTACTACCGAAAGCCTCTGATTTTTAAAAAAATGTATATGATTTAATATTCTAAAACATGATTTAAAAAAATTTAAAATGTAAAATTTGGAGCATGAATTTATATTTTGTAAAAAAAAAGATATATCATTTTAGATTTTGTAAAAAAATAATAATCATGTTTGGCGTGAAGAGTTTGTTCGTACCATGTGAAAGCATTATGTTAACGAATAACTAGTTATTACTATTGTTGATTGATGGATCTTTATAAAATTATGTGTAGTTCAAATCTTGTAATTGTAAATATTTATTTATAAATGAAACACGGAGATATGCAATTTATCAATACGGCATTTTAGGATATTATGATACTTTGTTTTATAAGCTATAGTTTGTTTATTTGGTAAGATTGTGTAATTGAAGAAGTTTTGATGATTTTCAAAAATAAAGGTTTTTTCATGTTTATGAAAAGAATACAATTTCAGAATCCATTGGTGTTTGTGTGAAATGACTGTATTACCCTCGTGTTATGGTTTAACACGTGTGGTTTGTTTGGTATTGTCGATTTGACTACTTTATTATTATCACTGCCTCAATAAGGTATAGAGGTTGTTTCCGAAAGCCCTCTGATTTTTAAAAAATGTATGTGATTTGAATCTTTGATATTCCAAAACATGATTCAAAAAAAATAAAAATGTGAAATTTGGAGCATAGGTTTATATTTAAAAAAAAAAGATTTATCATTTTAGATTTTGTAAAAAAATAAATCATGTTCGGCGTGAATTCGTACCATGTGAAAGTATTATGTGAACGAATAACTAGTTACTACTATTGTTGATTGATGGATCTTTATAAAACTATGTGTAGTTCAAATCTTGTAATTGTAAATAGTTATTTATATTTTTATAAAAGAAACATGGAGATAGGTAATTTATCAATACATCTTTTAGGATATTATGATACTTTGTTTATGAGCTATAATTTGTTTATTTGGTAAGATTGTGTAATTGAAGTAGTCTTGATGATTTTCAAAAATAAAGGTTTTTTCATGTTTATGAAAAGAATACAATTTCAGAATCCAAATTGCATGTTCAAATAAATCTTCAACTTCATACTAATTTGATTTAATATCATAATTTCAAATCATGATATCAACGATAAGCAATCACATGAATTGTTCAACTCATTTGAATGAAATGCATGAATATATCCAAGACAATAGAAAAGGTCTTACTCATGTGTTCTGTATGTCTCACGCGATAGCGGATTGCACTCTTATAAATATATAAAGTTTCAACCAAGGTTTACATATAGCATGGCACATTTACCCCGTTTGTATAGTCTGTTCCTATTTGAATTCTCAGTTTTTCGCATCTGAACTATCACCATATATGGTCATTCTCTTTACATCGCACTGTACATATATAATACACACTTCACTATATATCATCATAAATTTTTCTCTTATACAATATATAATGAGAGATTTGATTGTATGTATTAAAGCACACATTAACTACTAGTTATTCTCTTATCCTCTTTGAACTATCATCATATATGTAAAAGAAAGAACAAATGATAGTTAATGTGTGTCTTAATACATCTTTGGTGAAAGTTCACATGGGAAAATGGAACAAATTAAAACTGGAGTGTGAAACGCGTGAATAAATAATAATTTAAATATATTTTTTACAAGAAAAAAATTTCAAAATAGTCTCTTATCTTTAGGTTAAGACTCAAAGTCATCCTTAAATTTTCACATGGAGCACTAATATTCCCTCATGTTTGCAATATTGGTGCACTTTTGGTCCTTCTCCAAATTTCTACCTATTTTTAACATTAATTTTGTCCACAATTTTGTGGATGAAATGTTCAATCGTTTTTTTTTTTCTAGCAAAAATAATAATTCCATGTAGAGAAGGTGATAAGAAGAATACTTTAATTTGGTCAGTAGAAATATTATTGCAGCTAAACTTAGAACTCTTTAACATAGATGTTGCAAGAAAAGAAAAAAATATACCATTGTCTGTGAAATTGACTTGATCAACTTTTTGAGTTTAGCTGCAATAATATTTGTACTAAACAAAACAAGGTATTTCTCTTCTTACATTCTCTCACATAAAGTTATTATTATTTATAATAAATATATAAAAAGGAGGTTAAACATCTCATACATAAATTGTGGATAAAATTAATGTTAAAAAATGAGAAAATTTTGGAGAGGATCAAAAGTGCAACAATATTGCAAATATGAGGGACTATTAGTGTTTCACGTGAAAACTTAAGAATCTCTGAGTCTTAATTCAAAGATAAGAGACTATTTTAGTCTGTTTCTCTATTTTGACTATTATTTTCCTTTCTTTTTCTTAAACTCCATGCTCAATCAGACAAACATGCATAAAATACGACGACATGTATATATAAAGAGATAGAAATGTTAGACGTAAACAACATGCCTTCTTATAAATCTTTCTCATGTCTTATATATATCTACATTGTTTATTTGAACAAACGAATGATACACTTCTAAATATACAAAAAATTTAATGCTCTTACACTTTTTATTTTATCCGTAATGAACAACATTCATAACCACACAAATAGTAAAGTTTGTGAGCAAATCACTATTCAACTTAAAAAATTGATTAAAGTTGTGCATATATTAGTAATAAAGAGATTAATTACGAAGAAATTTACATATTATATAATGCATATATTAGTGATGTAGCATTTAGATATTCATATATTAGTTGTTCCACCTTTATCACACATAAAACATTACATAAATTTCCTCATAACTATACATGTATTAGTCCAAATTTATAACTCGTAAATCAAACATCACACTAATATTACAAATGAAATAACTCATCTCCTAACTAGTTACAAAACGTGATATTACCTGCATAACTCACCTCCAAAACAATTATCAAATGATTCGAACAACAATTAATCCAATATAATCCACATATGAAGTTGGGAAAGAGTAGAGTGTATATAAACGTTACCTTCATTTTAAAAATAATTTCATTTATTTTTACAAATTGAAGTTGAAATTATAAAATAAATATTTTCATTAATACAATAACATAGTATACTATTGTTGAAAAATCCCCCAATTCATTCAAGATTAACATAACCAACTCACCTCAGCCCTGTTTTGTCCTCCTTTCATCTTCCCCAGTGTTGACTGATTTCCTCGGTGTGACCCCTCTAGCCCCCCACCC